CCTCAAATAGGATAAGTGTTTCTTTGTGGGATATCCAAAAGAAACCAAAGGGTATTACTTCTACAATAAATCCGAGAACAAAGTGTTTGTTGCTCGTGATGGTGTCTTTTTGGAGAAGGATCACCTTTCCAAAATGACAGTGGGAGGAAAATAGAACTCGACGAAGTTCGAGAGGACGAGCAACAATGTCAACCTGACAAAACTGACAATTTAGATACTTTGGAAGCATCTGAGAAGATTGGTCAGAGTCAAACAGACAATGTAAATGCTCAACCGATTACCCTACGTAGGTCGCAACGGCAAAGATCTCAACCAGACAGATACCTCGGTATCGTCTTAACTGATGATCAGGACATCCTAGTTATGGATGGTGATGAGCCGGCGACATACAAGCAAGCTATGACGAGCCCCGACTCTGCAAAATGGCAAGAGGCCATGAAATCCGAGATGGACTCCATGTCTGAAAATCAAGTCTGGGACTTGGTGAATTTGCCCGAGGGTTACACACCCATTGGTTGCAAATGGATCTTCAAAGTTAAGACAGACAAAGATGGAAATGTATCGATATACAAAGCTAGACTGGTGGCAAAAGGTTATAGACAAGTCCACGGGATTGACCATGATGAAACTTTTTCACCAGCTGCAATGCTAAAGTCCGTCCGGATCATCCTAGCGATTGCTGCATATTACGATTACGAAATATGGCAAATGAATGTCAAAACCGCCTTCCTTAATGGGATTTTGGATGAAACTGTGTATATGACACAACCAGAGGGTTTTGTCAATCCAGGCAACACCGAAAAGGTTTGCAAAGCTGAAGAAGTCCATTTATGGACTAAAGCAAGCCAACAGAAGTTGGAATCTGCGATTTGATGAAGCCATCAGCAAGTTTAGTTTTATCAAGAATCCAGATGAGTCTTGTGTATACAAGAAGGTCAGTGGGAGTGATATTGCATTCCTAGTCCTGTATGTCGATGACATATTGCTCATTGGAAACAGAACAAAATTATTGGAGTCCATAAAGGGCTGGTTGGGAAAGTGCTTTTCAATGAAGGACTTAGGAGAGGCACAGTACATATTGGGCATCAAGATCTACGGGGATAGATCTAAGAGGATGATTGGATTAAGCCAGAGTACTTACATTGATAAAGTACTGGCTCGATTCAACATGGAAAATGCCAAAAGAGGGCATTTACCCAATGTCCCATGGCATAACTCTCAGCAAGAAACAGTTTCCGCAGACACCTATTGAGCGAGAAAGAATGAATCAGATCCCATATGCTTCGCTAATCGGATTGATCATGTATGCCATGATATGTACAAGGCCAGAAGTATCGTATGCCCTGAGTGCAACGAGTCGATACCAATCGAACCCAGGAGAGGCGCATTGGACTGCGGCCAAAAACATCCTTAAGTACCTGAAAAGGAACAAGGATAAATTCCTGGTGTATGGAGGCCACAAAGAACAGGTTGTTGAAGGTTACACCGACGCTAGCTTCAAGACTGACAGAGACAACTTCAAGTCGCAGTCGGGGTATATATTCTGTCTGAATGGAGGAGTGTTTAGCTGGAAGAGTGCCAAGCAGAGCACCACTGCAGACTCTACAACTGAAGTCGAGTACTTGGTCGCTTCGGAAGCTGCCAAGGAAGCTGTTTGGATTCACAAGTTCATCAGTGAACTTGGTGTTGTACCCTCAATCAAGGGGCCGATAGATCTCTATTGTGATAATAATGGAGCTATCGCTCAGGCAAGGGAGCCGAGAGAACACCAAAAGGTCAAACACGTGCAAAGGCGATTTCACATGATAAGGGAATGGAAATCCGAAGGTGAAATCAGAATTTGTAAGATCGGCACAGATGATAATGTAGCCGATCCTTTGACTAAACCTTTGCCTCAAGTGAAACACAACAAGCACATTGAGGCAATGGGAATCAAGCATGTTGGAGACTGGCTTTGAAATTCCCTGTACATGTGTTTTAATTAAATAGGATATTTAATGTAAGACACTGTACTAAAACCATTCATTAATGGAGTAATTAATTTTGTGCAAAATTATCATTCACTCCATTACTATTTAATTGTGGTTTAGAATTAAATAATGAGTCCATTCGATTTACGAAAATATTCAAAATAGGGTATCAAGACCATGTCTTGGATAAAGAAACACCTGTTAAGTGAACATTAAATATTAAATCGAAAAGTATTCCTAATCGAGGTCATCTAACAGATGGACGATTGATGACCGCCATAGATTAGTGTGTAGTATGATTTACAACACCGTTTCTTGTGCTGCGAGGACATGACGGTCATAAATCATTTGCACAGGTACAGTTTAGAACTGTACTGGATAAGACCTATGAGAGTACTTTAAGAAAATTTAATATTTTGTCATAAGTACATTTCTCATTATGACTATCGGAACTTATTTCCTCCGACCATGTGAAGTTTTCTTGTTTGAGTACTAGACTCTTTGATGTTTCCAAACGTCTGCCGTAACTGGGGATCATAACGGAAACACTCGGGAGACTATGTCCTCTTAGTAAGAAGAACTTACAATACAAGACTGGGATTGTCCCCCTACTAACAATAGGGAAAATGTTTTGTTGTTTAAAAGGCCGCTCGAAGAGCGAGACTGTGAAAATGCATGGCTATGCTCAGATGGATTTTAAAAATCATCTGCTTATTGACAGTCGAACTCGGAGATCGTGAAACACTTCTGAACGTAATAAGGATGACAAAAAATCTTACCTTATAGTTCACGAAGAAACATTAAGTGACAAAGGAAATGAGCTATACACAATATGCACACTTGTCCGGAAGGACAAGTGGGAGATTGAAAGGAATGGTGTCCTTCCAACAAGTGTATTCTTCCGAAATTGGGTTCAGAATTATTACAGAGCTAATTCTTCAGTATGGTCAAGTGATCGGAATGCCTATGTGGAGGCCGCTTCCGATCAGTAATATCGAGGTACAATTGATATTACAACTTGATCTTAACTGAACCCTTCGGGTCGAACCCAATCGAATCTCCGACCCAAGACGACGAATTAATCCGAAAGGATTTAATGAGTCGATAGAGTTTTATGAATACAGACGTCGAAAATCGAGCCTAGGGCGTCGAGACCGAGCGTCGCAAAATCACAAGCAACAAGTATGAACGTAGCCGTAGCTAGGCTAGGCTAGCTCATCACAAGCCTAGGTGGACCATGTGTGTGCTAGGCGCACCATGGTGTGCTAGGCACCATCGCAGCCTAGGCGCGCCCTGGCAGCGCATCGCAAGCTAGCAGTGTACTAGCATGGGTGCCTAGGTGCGCATGGCAGCTATCGCAAGCCCTACAAGCACCAGGCAGCCCATCGCAGCTAGCAGCGTGCTAGCCTGGGTGCCTGGGTGCTCATAGGGGCTATTTCAGCCCTATCGCACCAGGCATAGCACCCATGTGTGCGTGCATGTGCGTGGGCATTGTCGCAGCCCCACAACACCACGCACAACACCATCGCTGTGCTAGGCACATGTGCGTGTGTGCGTGTGTGTGTGCACCAAAGCACAGCGCTAGTGCGTGATGGCCTTGCGTGTGTGCTAGGCACCATTGCAGGCCATGCACCAAGCACATCTAGCTGGTGCGCAGCGCTAGCCTTGCGTGTGTGCTAGGCACCATCGCAGGCCACACACCAAGCACAGCGCTAGTGCGTGCGGGCCTGGAAGCACGTAGCTGTGCGGGCACGGGGCGAGTGGTGCTGGCTGGCTAGGGGCCATGCGTATGCTGGACTGGCTATGCTGGCTATGCGAGAGCCACGCATGCATGTGCGTGTGCCTGCGATAGCAAGGCAGCAGCACCATGCGTGTGCGTGTGCCTGCGATAGCAAGGCAGCACCACGCAAGCGTGTGCGTGTGCCTGCGATAGCAAGGCAGCAGTACCACGCATATGTGTGTGCGTGTTCCTGCGATAGCAAGGCAACAGTGCCCAGCGCCCAGCACAAGGCGTGGCTCGCTAGCAGCACGCAAGTGCTGGGCTGGGTGATGCATGGTGCGCCAGCCAAGCATGCTAGCTGGCTGTGCGTGCTGGCAGCGCTAGGTGGCAGCCAGCCTAGCTGCCTTGAAAATGGCGGTTTGAGGGGAAGTGGGAGGGGACCAAAGCCACCAAGCTTCCCTTGGGGAACAAGGCAATGGTCCCCCCCATGGGATATGGTCCTCACCTAACCCATCCTCTCCTTTTGTCACTTGTTGGCTTGTGATTGTTTTTCATAATTATTTATTTTAGAATTAAATAAATTATTGCAATTGCACATGATCCCACATTGATCATGAAAAGGGGCTTCAAGTCCCCATTCTCTATAAATACCCACTTGGTTGGGATTTTGAGAATACAACCTTGAGTGGAATTAAAAAGGCAACTCTAAGAAAAGAGTAAACCTTTGATTCGTAAAACTCATAGTTATTTTGTCCGGGTCTTGACTAACCTTCAAGACTTGGGACGCTCGGGTCGGGTCGAGGGTACGATCCGTCGGAGATCTCGTCTTTTCGGGATTTTTAAGTAAGAGCTCCTTGGGAGCGAAGCACGCGTCAAAGGTATAATTCTTGTCCTTAATCTTCTTTGATTAAGTTTATTATGCTTGTTTAATTGCTTTAATTAAGGGGCGGGTCTTGGTGGGTTTCCTTCCGCGTAGTGTCGGGTCACTACGAAACCCTACAGTTGCACAGTGTTTATATAGATTAGATTAATACTGTGCAGATAAGATCCACGCTTTCTTTCTTACATTGTCATAAGCTAACCCATAATATACAGGGTTCATGATATTCATTTTCTTTCTCCAGATGAAAAGATGGAACCATTGAGCTGGGAACGAAGGGTTCATATAGCATTGGATGTCGCAAGAGGCTTGGAGTATCTTCATGACGAGGTAATTTATTTATTCTATCTATTGAGTGGGGTTTAGATAAGCGAAAACCTACTTATTTTTTTTTGCTGTTTTCAATCTGATTTCTTCCTTCTGCTTTCAGGCAGTTCCTCCTGTGATACATCGTGACATTAAATCTTCCAACATTTTGTTGGATCAGTCAATGAAAGCTAGGGTATGTTCATTGTTATCACTTCCCAACAGCTTTGACATTTTATTTTGCTTGTGATGTCCTTGGGATTTAAGGGCTTGGGAGTTGGGACTTGATGCTTCCTTTTGATTAAAGGATTTGATATTGGGGTTCCATGTGTTTATGGATAATTATATGCATTTATTTTTCTAGATATTGTTATCCCTAGATCATTTTGGCATTAGTTATAGTCAGGCCAATTTTGTTGCAAAACTCTGAATAGAAGTTAAGTTGTATTGTGCACAAAAGTTGAATCAAGTGTTATAAGCTCATCCTCAAGAACAAAAACTAGGAATTAAGTGTAAGTGTTTTATAGGACTACTAATATATCAGAGTAATCGCATAGATCTGAATACTGCGCTTTTAAAAAGGATCATTTAAGATGCATGAGTTTTTTTTCTTTTCATTTCTTAAGCAATTAGTTAGAGAGTTTATTAATAATGCAGAACTGAAAATGCTTAATACAGACCTCCAGAACAACAGAACCAAAAGCTTGCAGGCAGACAAAACTTGCTAAGCAACCACCTTACATCACTATCACTTCTCTAAGCTCATTTGAGCATCTACAAGAAACTTTCATTAAAATTTCATTCACAATAACATCAAAAGTTATAGCATTTACCATGAAATTTGCGGTATTATTATGAAGACATAACTGCTATATTGACTCAGTATATCATGTAATATACAGCTTTGATTGCGAGCTTTTCTTCTAGTTCAATATTACTGCTGTCTTCAACTCAGCATCAAAACCAGTAAAATAATCCCAAGAGCCAACACTTTTAAAGGACAGGTACTTGATTCTTTCAGGATGATTCTTTCAGGATGATGTGCAGATTCACCTTTTTCTAACACACCCCAGGATCTCTTTTCTTCTTTAAATTGTTGGCATTACAAGTAGTAGGATCCTGTGACCACTATTCTGTCTGGCATGTATGCTCAGCTCTAGTGTTGATGGGTGTTCCTATTAAGGGTCACATTTCAGCTCTAATATCTGTATCTTGCCTGAATCGTTATATACTACTAGCATCAATGTATGGTATTATTCAGGATTGTTGAGTCTAGAGGCTTGTAATAGTTAACATTGAGCACTCACAAGTCACAAACAAGCCCGTATCTACAAGAGTTAGAAATGAGTTTCAGATATTTACAAGATTTGGTAGCTAATGGCTCAACTTATAAAAATAGAGAATTTTTAGATTCTTTTGATTTATGCCTGATGTTTATTTGTATTGATACAGTTAGATGTGCACTAACGGAATTATCATGCTGCAGTTAACTCTAGAGTTAGCTTGAATCCTTCCCCTACAATGGACATCAATGCTGCCATCGGCAATGAGGACACCAGCTTGGGTGGGGAAATGGCATTTGATACTACAAAGACAAACACCATTGCCACCAATGTCACTGTGCTCTGCTCTGCATCAGTTTTGCATTCTTGCCGCCCTTGAAGTCCTGAGTTCTATTAGTTTTTGTATACTGTCAGACAGCATATGTTAGTGTGTATATGCCCAAAAATATATATGTTAGTGTTTATATGTCCATTTTGTTTTAGTTTTTTAAAGTGTAATATTACAAGTTATTGAGGCAAATATATGTGTTTTATGTATATTATGATTATATATAAGTATTTGGTACAATTTAAGTGAAAAAAATGCAAAAAAAAAATTTTTTTTTTTATTTTTTGGGGCACTTTTGCCACCGGGCTAGTGTGAAAACCGATGGGAAATGTTATAGTTTTGCCACCGGTTCACTTGAAAACCGGTGGGAAAAGTCCTCCAGCTTTAAGATAAATCACATGTTTTTGCCACCGGTTCACTCCAAAACCGGTGGGAAAAGTGGTTTTTGCCACCGGTTTTGAACCGGTGGGAAATCTTTGGGGATTTAGCACCCCTCAAATCAAGAACGGTTCAAAACCGGTGGGGAATGTGTGGTTTGAACCGGTGGGGATTGAGGTTTTTTTCCTAGTGTATGACTCACTTTATGTTGCTTTTTCAGAGACCAAGTGAGAAGCTTATCAAGTGTTGGTGCATGGACAAGTAGACGACGAAGATGGTTTTTCGGTCGTGCTTGCATGCACTATTTTTTCTATGACATGTAATTAAACTAATCTTAGTTTTTCATCATACTTTTGAACATAATATGATATATGGTGTTGGACACCTAGTTGTTTTGCATGTAAGACTTTGACAATAGTTGTTTCAAAATTGTCTTGAAAATATATATTCAATGGAAATTGCATGTTTTTACATATGATTAGACAAAAGTTGATACCGATAACTAAGATATCTAAGAATTCAACTTCGTTAACAAACATTAGTAGATATGGCTATATCTACTTAATGTCAAATAAATCTGAATCCTTTGACAAATTCAAAGAATTTCATAAAGAAGTTGAAAATCAACTTGGCAAGAAAATTAAAGCACTTCGATCGGATTGAGGTATCGAATATTTGAGCCATGAATTCGACGATCACTTGAAAGAAAATGGTATTCTTTCAGAGTTGACACCTCCCGGAACTCCTCAATAGAACGGAGTGTCCGAACGGAGGAATCGAACCTTGTTAGACATGGTTCGATCAATGATGGGTCTTAGTGAACTTCCTATCTTTTTCCGGGGACATGCGCTACAAACCGCGGCACTAACACTGAACTGAGCTCCGTCAAAAGCTGTTGAAAAGACTCCATAAGAATTATGGACTAAGAAACCTCCTAGGTTGTCTTTTCTCAAGATTTGGGGATGCGAAGCATATGTCAAACGATTAATTTTGGATAAACTTCACCCCATCGGATAAGTGTTTCTTTGTGGGATATCCAAAAGAAACCAAAGGGTATTACTTCTACAATAAATCCGAGAACAAAGTGTTTGTTGCTCGTGATGGTGTCTTTTTGGAGAAGGAACACCTTTCCAAAATGACAAGTGGGAGGAAAATCGAACTGGACGAAGTTTGAGAGGACGAGCAACAATGTCAACCTGATAAAACTGAAAATCTAAGTGCTTTGGAAGCAGCTGAGAAGATTGGTCAGAATCAAACAGACAATGTAAATGCTCAACCTATTACCCTTCGTAGGTGGCAACGACAAAGATCTCAACCAGACAGATACCTTGGTATTGTCTTAACTGATGATCAAGACATCCTAGTTATGGATGGAGATGAGCCAGCGACATACAAACAAGCTATGACGAGCCCCGACTCTGCTAAATGGCAAGAAGCCATGAAATCCGAGATGGACTTCATGTCTGAAAATCAAGTCTGGGACTTGGTGAATTTGCCCGAGGGTTACACACCCTTTGGTTGCAAATGGATCTTCAAATTGAAGACATACAAGGATGGAAATGTATCGATATACATGGCTACACTGGTGGAAAAAGGTTATAGACAAGTCCACGGGATTGACTATGATGAAACCTTTTCACCGGTTGCAATGCTAAAGTCTGTCCGGATTATTCTAGCGATTGCTGCATATTACGATTATGAAATATGGCAGATGGATGTCAAAACCGCCTTTCCTAAATGGGATTTTGGAAGAAACTATGTACATGACACAGCCAGAAGGTTTTGTCGATCCTAGCAACGCTGGAAAGGTTTGCAAGCTTAAGAAGTCCATTTATGGACTAAAGCAAGCCAGCAAGAGTTGGAATCTGCGGTTTGATGAAGCCATCAGCAAGTTTGGTTTTATCAAGAATCCAGATGAATCTTGTGTATACAAGAAGGTCAGTGGGAATGACATCGCATTCCTAGTCCTATATGTCGACGACATATTGCTCATTAGAAACAGCACAAAATTACTAGAGTCCGTAAAGGGCTGGTTGGGAAAGTGCTTTTTAATGAAGGACTTAGGAGAGGCACAGTACATATTAGGCATCAAGATCTACAGGGATAGATCTAAGAAAATGATTGGATTGAGCCAGAGTACTTACATTGATAAAGTACTGGCACGATTCAACATGGAGAATGTCAAGAGAGGGCATCTACCCATGTCCCATGGCGTAACTCTCAGCAAGAAACAGTGTCCACAGACACCTGTTGAGCGAGAGAGAATGGATCAGATTCCATATGCTTCGTTATTGGGTCGATCATATATGCCATGATATGTACCAGGCCAAATGTCTCGTATGCCTTGAGTGCTACGAGCCGATACCAATCAAACCCAGGAGAGGCGCATTGGACTACGGCCAAGAATATCCTGATGTACCTGAAAAGGAACAAGGATAAATTCTTGGTTTATGGTGGCCATTATGATCTGGTTGTTGAAGGTTACACGGACGCTAACTTCCAGACTGACAGAGACAACTTCAAGTCACAGTCAGGGTACATATTTTGCCTAAATGGAGGAGCATTTAGCTGGAAGAGTGCCAAGCAGAGCACAACTGCAGACTCTACAACTGAAGCCAAATACTTGGCTGCTTCAGAAGCTGCTAAGGAGGCTGTTTGGATTCGCAAGTTCATTAGTGAACTTGGTGTTGTACCCTCCATCAAGGGTCCGATAGATCTCTACTGTGACAACAATGGAGCTATCGCTCAGGCTAGAGAGCCAAGAGAGCACTAGAAGGTCAAACATGTCCAAAGGCGATTTCACATGATAAGGGAATAGGAATCCGAAGGTGAAATCAGAATTTGCAAGATCGGCACGGATGATAATGTGGCCGATCCTTTGACTAAACCTTTGCCTCAAGTGAAACACAACAAGCACATTGAGGCAATGGGAATCAAGCACATCGGAGACTGGCTTTGAAACTCCCTGTACATGTGTTTTAATTAAACTGGTTGTTTTAATGTAAGACACTGTATTGAAACCATTCATTAATGGAGTAATTAATTTTTGTGCAAAATTATTTTTCACTCCATTGCTATTTAATTGTGGTTTAGAATTAAATAATGAGTCCATTCGACTTATGGAAATATTCAAAACAGGGTATCAAGACCATGTCTTGGATAAAGAACACCTATTAAGTGAACATTGAATATTTAAATCAAAAATTATCCCTAATCGAGGTCATCTGACTGATGGACGATTGATGACCACCAGAGATTAGTGTGTAGTATGATTTACAGCACCGTTTCTTGTGCTGCAAGGACATGATGGTCATAAATCATTTGCACAGGTGCCAATTTGGAACTACACTGGATTGACCTATGAGGGTACTTTAAGAGATTCAAAATTGTCATAAGTACATTTCTCATTATAGATATCGAAACTCGTTTTCTTCGACCATGAGTATTGTGAAGTTTTCTTGTTTGAGAACTAGTCTCTTTGATGTTGCCTAACGTCTGCCGTAACTGGGGATCATAACGGGAACACTCGGGAGATTAGGTCCTCTTAGTAAGAGAAACTTACAATGCAAGACTGGGAATGTCCCCCTATTAACAAAAGAGAATATGTCTTTGTTGTTTACAAGGCCGCTCGATGAGCAAGACTGTGAAAATGCATGGCCGTGCTCAGATGGATTTTAGAAATCATCTGCTTATTGACAGTCAAACTCGGAGATCGAGAAACACTTCTGAACGTAATAAGGATGACGATGAATCTTACCTTATAGTTCACGAAGAGACATTAAGAGACATAGGAAATGGGCTATACACTATATGCACACTTGTCCGGAAGGACAAGTGGGAGAATGAAAGGAATGGTGTCCTTCCAACAAGTGTATTATTCTGATAGAGGGTTCAAAATTATTACAAAGCTAATTCTTCAGTAAGGTCAAGTGATCGGAATGCCTAGGTAAAGGCCGCTTTCGATTAGTAATATTAAGGTATAATTAATATTACAGCTTAATCTTAACTGAACCCTTCGGGTCGAACCCAATCGAACAACCGATCCGAGATGACGAATTAATCCGAAGGATTTAATGAGTCGACGGAGTTTTACGAACATAGACGTCGGTTATCGAGCCTAGGGCGTCGAGGCCGAGCGTCGCAAAATCACAAGCAACAAGTACGAGCATAGTCGTAGCTAGGCTAGGCTAGCTCATCGCAAACCTAGGCACACCATGTGTATGCTAGGCGCACCATGGTGTGCTAGGCGAGGCATGAGTGCTACGCGCACAAGGAAGCCCATCGTAGCCTTCGCATGGCGTGGCAGCACCATCGCAGGCCACACGCACCATGCACAGCACTATCGCATGGCCAGGCCTATGCGTGTGTGCATGTGCATGTGCCTAGGATCATCGCAAGCCATCGCAGGCCACATGCACCAAGCACAGCCATCGCAGTGCTGGGCACTTGCGTGTGTGCGTGTGCGTGTGTGCCTCGCACCATCGCAATAGCAGCCTCGCACAACAGCACCATGCTAGGCTTCCTTGCGTGTGTGCGTGTGCGTAGGCACCATCGCAGGCCATGCACCAAGCACAACACACCTATGCGTATGCGTGTGCGAGTGCTAGTGCATGCTGGCCTTGCTGTGCGTAGGCATGCGAGGGGTGTGCGTGTGCCTGGATGTGCGAGTGCCAGTGCATGTTGGCTAGCAAGCAGCAGCAGCGAAGGGTGCCTGGGCTTGTGCGTGTATGTGCGATTGGGAGTGCGTGGGGGGACTGGGTGTGCGTGTGCGTGCAAGAGCCAGGCAGCCAGCAACACTTGCTAG